TGAGTGTACTAGTCTTGTTCAACTGTTGATCACACCAGATTCTTCTTTTTTTTTCTCTCTGAAACCAAGGTTTGTTCAGCAGAGTTGAAGTATAAACTACAAGTTGGCTTTGTGAGTGATGAAAAAATACAACTGTGCCTGAGCAGGTGTCTACAACAAGGATTAACTAGACTCCCAAGACTGACGGATGTCTACTAAATGGATGAATATTTAATACCAGTTTACCCATATTATTTTAAAAAAAAAAGCAATATTTAAATAACTTTTTAATTGGTTACATTTTCCTCTATATTTGTTTTAAACCTATGTGCCATGTCCCTTCAGGACGTGAGCAGTCATAGCTCTTCACAACTTCCTATTAATTGTAGCCCATAGCAATTTTTGTCATTTTATTATAGCTCTCACACTCTCTTCTGGCAGGTTAGATGCTGTTTCTTTCTCTCTTACCTTCAATAAGTGCTTTGAGTATCAAATTTTCCAAGTCTTCTCTCCTCGTCCATCTCATAAATTTCAACTGCCTCTTACTGATTCTAAATATAAGTGTCATTTTTGTTTCTATTTTCCTTCAAATTTCTTTATTGCTTACATGCTCCAGCCACACTATTCTCAGCATCCTTCTATAGAAACATACATCTGTTGCTTAAAATTTACACTTCATCGGGAAGAAAATTGTCCAGCATTCACTGCAATATAGTAGCACTAATGTTACATAACATTTCAGCTGTCTTTTTCTAATGAAATTTCCTGTTTCTTAATACTTTGTTTAGCTTTTAGAAAGCATGATTTGCTGTTCCACTGCACCTTTAGATTTCGGTGTCACATTTTTTGTCATTAGTTAAAACACTTCCCATATCTTTTAAACTTCTCTGCTTGCTTAATTTTAACATTTCCAATTTGTAACCTACATTTTGGGTTGTTTGTCTTGCTTACAACCATACATTTTGTTGTGGAGTAGCTGAACACCCCCATAAGATTCACTGGTCTAAGACAATTTAAACAGTACTCTCTCTTATTGAAGGAGAAGAGTTAACAATTAATTGTTTATTACATTAGTCTGTGTTCTCAATTGCGTACCATATTATTCTCTGGAATAAACTACTTATTTTCTATAAGTGTGTCAACCTTTCCTATTTATGACACAACACAGTCTTTTTACATTTGGTGGTTTCTCCTTTTTTTCTTGCTTTCTTTTATTACATAGGTAATTGTTTATCTTACAGTTGGAATGACTAGATGTAACAAGAAGTTCCATGCTAACAGTTTCCTCTCTCACACTTCTTGCTTGTGGAACTCTCTTCTGGCTTCTTGCTTTCTTGTCAACTTTGATCTTCAATAGTTTAAATGAAATGTCAATCATTATCTTTTGCCTTAATTCCTGTTCTTTCATTGTTCTCTCTCCTTAATGTTTTTCTTTTTCTCATATTGTTTCACACCCTGTAACTCCTTGCATCATAGTGGCTTTATTGCCTTGCTTGGAGGAGAAATGATTGAAGAAAAAAAAACATTGTCTTGAAGTTTCTGCAGTTTTTTTGTTTTTTTGTACCTACTATCGACACAATCTTAAAAGATATGCAGATAATACTAAGTCCATCAATAATAAATCCTGGTAGAATTTCTAGTTCTTTTCATATTGCCTTGCTATAATGGTTGAATGAAACCAGTAGAAGACACAGTCTTGTCGTAAAACAATGTAATAGCAGCCTGATCTCTTCTACTGACAAATAAGGTTTTGTTTTTACGTCAACACAAGACATATCTATTTATTATTGGTCAGATTTTGTAAAGTGGGATGGGTTGAGAACTTTTCAATACTCCTTTATATAATAAATTTATTTCCCCTTGAAAAATTTACAAGTGTTTTCCTCTCTTTTGAATCGATTGAGTGAATTGTTTTTTACAGCTTACCAACTTTACTTTAAAGCTGAAACATATTCTTTTTTTTTTTTTTTTTTTTTTTTTCCTTGAGAGAGAAAATATCAATAATTTTTCCAGATAAAAGCCCTACTATTTAACCCATAGCTGGGGGACGAGATGTATTAATATCTTAACCAAGAGTATTTGCATGTAAGCGAATGTAACAAACCTGACTGGAATTTAAATATGGTTCTCCAATTTCACATTCTGAGCTGCTATCCATTGCACATCCACCCTCTCATAAGTAGAACATGAGATTATTTTTCTTTTATTTTTTATTTTATTTTCTCTTTTCTTTTTTCTTTTCTCTTTTCTTTTTTCTTTTCTCTTTTCTTTTTTCTTTTCTCTTTTTTCTTTTCTTTTCTCTTTTTTCTTTTTTCTCTTTTTTCTTCTTTTTTTCTCGAGATCTGAGGAATAAAGAAAAAAAGAATATTTATCATTGTCCCCTCAATTAGGTTTTGTATTTTACAAAATAATTTTAATTTATTTCTTTGGTTTTATATTTTTTTCTTATACATGAAAAACACTATGATCAAATTTGTAAGATAAGTTATTAATACAAGTCATGTTTTGTTTTAGTACATGTATTTATATATACATTTCTCTCATCACGACTAATTCTTTTGGCTTGCTGCAGTCTCTTCCTGAGCCAGATGTCTTTGAATGACATAGTCATGCTGAGAAGCCATTTGTACCACTTGGTGGGTTTTTGTATTTTTTTTTATTTTTATTTTTATTTATTTTTGCTGCAAGGTCACTGTTACTTTCATGTCATCAAATCACCCTTCTTTCCTCCTCCATGTTCCAAATGTAAGTTCCAGCTTTTCCCCTCAATAATTGCCACTTTATGGAACAGACTCCTCTGTGGGTGCTTTCTTGAATACATTTATCCTGAACTCATGCAGCCAAAGATCATTTAATATCTGTCCTCATCATCACCATTTTCTGCAATCTGCTCTTCCACTTGTATCTCACACTTTGTTCATCATTACCATTCCAACTACAACCCTCAACCTGAGTAACTCTTGAGCATTATTGTAATTAATAAACATTTCCAAAAGAAAATCTCCTGCAATATTTAATTTTCCTTATTGTCTTGCTCCCACACAGCCACTGTCTGTGTCTTGCTCCCACACAGCCACTGTCTGTGTCTTGCTCCCACACAGCCACTGTCTGTGTCTTGCTCCCACACAGCCACTGTCTGTGTCTTGCTCCCACACAGCCACTGTCTGTGTCTTGCTCCCACACAGCCACTGTCTGTGTCTTCTCCCACACAGCCACTGTCTGTGTCTTGCTCCCCCACAGCCACTGTCTGTGTCTTGCTCCCACACAGCCACTGTCTGTGTCTTGTTCCCACAGCCACTGTCTGTGTCTTGCTCCCACACAGCCACTGTCTGTGTCTTGCTCCCACACAGCCACTGTCTGTGTCTTGCTCCCACACAGTCACTGTCTTGAGCTCTCTCTGTCTTGCTTTCTTTCTCTCTAAACCAATTTAAAAAGCACTTCACAATTTTTTCATGAAGAATCTAATATACCAATTCCAAAATTTTATTAGAATTTACAATGTTTTTTTATATATATATATATATATATATATATATATATATATATATATATATATATATGATTTTAAGAATGTACATATGACACTAGATTCCTGACAGAATCATTACCTGTCAAATTTGTGTGTTTGAGCGAAACCAATATATAACAATATTTGAAAATAAATCTTCCCACAAAGCGTGACCCTCACCTGCTTAAGTTAATGATTGAATAAGCTCACGGCGAGTTCTACAACAATAAAATGTCTGTAGAAATTCCTCTATCACATCATTAAATATTTGAGCTTAGCAAATTTAACAAAATATTGCCATACAATCATAAATAAGAATACTGGTTGTTATTTAAAGAAATAAGGGGGAAACAAATGGAAAGATTTGAAATTGACAACTTTTTTCCATTTCACTGAAACAGGCAACAAACACTTTTATCTTTCTCTTATTTCCTCCATTTTTTTTCACAGAAACCAAGTGGCATCTCTGATATATCTTTTCCATATTTCCACTTAAAATGGAACTCACTAGTAAAAGTAGTAATAAAATAATTTAAAATGCTTCATCTAATAAGCAACAATAATAAGATGGTCTAAAACTAGTAAAAAAAAATTAAATGCTTTATCTAAAAATCATTAATAAGAGTAGAACTAGTAATAAAATGACTAATAATGTGTATTGTGGTTTTGTGTTTTTTGTTTGTTTTTGTGGTAGGGTTTCTTGTTTGTTTTTTTTTGTGGGGGGGGGTGTTCTTTTAGTTGTCTTCTCAAAATACACACTGCTTACATTGAACTACTTGAGTTAATTTGTACTGACATGAAGTTACAATGATTGATCATTCTTTTCTATAATTTATTTTGTATTACTTTTTTTTCTTTGTTTTTCTTTTTTCTTTCCTAATAAATAAATACTATGTTTGATATATAATCTGATGAAATGTCTGGAAATATTTTAAATATGTTTTTATTTTTTCTCTTTTGTTTTAGCTGACTGCTTTGGAAAACAATGTTTCTAGATTCCTAATTTCTCCAGTGGAAGCAGGCCTGTGTTCTTATGAACAGGGAGGGAATATGGTACCACATGATTTATGCTCTTCAATGAGAGACTCTCTGCAGAAATATCTTTCTCACTGACCCTCAATGTGTGGCTTTGGGACTGGCCGCTTGACTTTTCCCCATTTGTCACTACAATTTTCCAAACTGATGCAAAGGATTATTTTAGGATAAAGTTAAGGGGGAGACATATTGAGGATTTTTGAAAATCTCCCCCTAATCTTTTTTTTTTTCTTCTTCTTTGTTGTATCCTTAAACAATTGTAAATGGAACAAAAATATATATTATTTATGTAATTACCAAATGTTAACTCAGATTGGATTTTATTTACAGCTGAATTTTTTTTTTGCACATCTGTCAGCAAATATAATTTAACCCCTTTATTTTTTGTGTTAAATTTTTTTCATCATAAAGACATACTAATTGTTAAAAAAAGTTTAAAAAGAAAGAAACAAAAAAAAAAACAAACTACGCCACGATGATGACTGAATGTAAGTATTGCAAAAAGACGTTCAATCACTCTGGCCATCTCACCCGACATATCCGGACGCACACGCGAGAGAAGCCGTACGAGTGTAGTTACTGCAAGAAGCGTTTCTCCGACTCCAGCACGCTGACTGTGCACACCCGTATACACACAGGTGAGCGGCCCTTCTCGTGCAAATTCTGCAAAAAGACCTTCTCACGCTCGGACAGCCTTCGCGTGCATGTCCGGACCCACACAGGGGAGAAAAAATTTGAATGTCATCATTGTCGCAAGACCTTCTCGCGGTCGGGCAACCTCACCGTCCACTTGCGCACCCACATGTCACTTGGTGCCAATGATCCCTGTAATAGTGGTACTAATGGCACATTTGAATGTCCTCGCTGCAACAAGTCATTTACCCAAGGGCACGATCTTAACCGGCACCTGAAAACACATCACAACCCTAGTGAGAGAGTCGACAATCCTCTTTTCCAAGCCATCTGCAAAACAGAGACGGCTGATGCACGCTCTAAGCCTTCATGCTGTGGTAACAACTTTCAGTCACGTCCTTACACATCGGCTAATGGAAATCTCTGCTGTAAGCCCAATAATGTGGCCTTTGGTTTTGACCAGTGCAATACGGGCAACAAACTAACCAACTACATCAATGGTCAACCATTGGATAAATCCTGCAATGGTGCAATAGCTACAAACCTTGAAAGAAATAAAGATCTTCCCATCCCAGTCAGTGGACATCATGGGAATCATCACTGCAACTTACAAACAAGTAATGGGCATTACCCTCAGTTATTAGTTCAAAATGAAAACAAACCATTTGATTGTCATGGATTTGAGAAATCAATATCGCATACTTGTCAGTTGCAGCGACATCTCCAGAGGTCTTTGGATGCTGGAGTTGACTCGGTGATGGCCGCCCCATCGTCTTGTGACAACCAGAACATTCTATATATGAACCCTAGCTTTCATGGCCATACAGGGGACAAATCCAGACGCTGCACTCTGTGTGAGAAATCTGTGTTTCACATGTGTCAACTCAGTGGGGACAATTATTGCATTCCGTTTTCCGGTTCGTACAACAGTCTCACAAATGTAACAAATATCCCTGCAAACCCCATGTGTTCGAGTTCAACGGACTTTAACAGGAACCAGGCCTGCACTTATATTGATAGCCGGTCACTTTCTACACAGCAGCACTTTGGTTGCAATCATTGTAAAAACCCAAACCACACAAGCAACCTAACCGATGTAAAGCCAACATCATTTGGTAATCAGATATACATCAAGCCAGATTTAAGTTCAAACTCTAGTACTGACCCAATGCACAATTCTTGTGCTTATCTAAATGGTAAATCATACCATGGAGAATCACAGTTTGGCTGTGAGAATTGCAAAACCACTAACCATCCGAAAGATGATAAAAACACATTGGCATCATCAAGTGCATCAAGCAGCCAAAGTGAAAATGATAAAAAGCCTTGTCCAACCAACTCCTCAAACCCTCTCCAAAATCAATCTTGCTCCTTCTCCGGAAGTAATCACCTGCACATGAAGGACCAGCTCTTTGGTTGTAAACAATGTGATGTGAGGGGATTTGGCCAACCTTTTTCTATGAACTACAATGGTCAACATGAGTTGGACATCAAGCCAAACTTATCCATTGGAAATCTTGACTCTAATCTACAAACAAACCATTATTATAGCAACATGAGGACTAACACTTCAGAGAAACAACTTGGTTGTCTTAAACCTTATGGCCAGAACTCCACAGATCGAAAGACAGATGTGTCTGGCTCAAATGTTGCTCATCCTTCTAATTCTTTCTTCGGTTTGCTACAGTCTCTTCCTGAGCCAGACGTTTTTGAATGTGATAATAATGCTGAAAAGCCATTTGTACCACTTGGCGGGTTCCTCAACCCACAGGCATCCTCCCAAAAATCCTGCCTTTTCTCCTCCATAACTTGCAACAACCCTGAGATGCTTGATATAAAGCCTAACATAACGTCACTCCATGACCATTATCACCAGGCGCTTACTCATTTTAGCCAACCAGATGCATTTTCTAAGTCCGATTTCTCAACTTGTTTCAGTACAGCCCAATCAACACTGGAGCCCAATCTCTATGATGCAAACAGTGCTGGTATGGGTGGAAATGTTAACATGGGTGGGGTCACTAGTGGTGCAGCAGGGATGTGCATGAAATCTGAGCCTTTCTTTTGCTCGTCAGGTGATACCCAAACACAACCATTTTCATACCACTCGCTTGACCAACCTGACATTAAGCCAGATTTATCTTTGCTATGGTTTTGACTGTTCTACTCTTGTGTAGGGGGCATCTCACTGTTTAATAAAAACTAGTTTTCAAGCTTAAAACTCCCCAGTTTTTTTAAATAATTTTTTAAGTAAAAGAACAAAAAATATTTGAGATAATTGAGAAAAACATTATTTTTGCCAGTCAACTATTTCCAGATAAATCTTTTAATGGGGTGGGATTTTTAATTTCAAAATTCCTGTTAGAAATTATTTTTCTGCTTAACTTTTTATAATAACAAAGTATTTTTTCTGTAAATTTTTCTTTTCATTGTTGTGTACTTTTTATATATATATATATACATATATATATATATATATATATATATATAAGTAAAATACTACCTCTGTCTTATAACAGTTATTACATTTGCTTACACATTTCACATACTAAATGTCATCACTATTATGGGATAGAGGTAATACTAAAAATGTTCTAATGATAGTTGGCCAATTTTAGGACTCCTGGGTAATCAACATTTGAAACTTCCGGATTAATGTCTTATTTTTCTTTCTAATGTGTTTCAGGCTAATTTCTGACCAGGTTCATGTAACCCTCAAAGAAGAAAGGAAATAGGTTGGAATGGTCGGAGGTTAGCTTACTCAACATTGTTCTACAGCCAGTGTTTGAATTTACTAAGCTTGGCACCTAATCTGGCACCACCAAACCACAATTGTGATGACTCAATGCTTCAGATTGTGAGATTAGCTTTCTGATCATTGCTCTGTGACTGAATTTGGAGAAAAGTGAGGAAAACTTTGCATCCCTTAGATCTGAACAGCTGTCCAATGAAGAATCTGTTAGTTTTCATTATCTGCCAGAAGATTAGACTGGATCAGACTTGTTTCACCTGATGGATTATTGAATATCTTTTAGGATCTATTTATTGTCTATCATGTGCTTATTTAGAACTGCCATTTTGTATGCATGCATGTGTGTGAGATACATACATACATACATACACATATATATATATATATATATATATATATATATATATATATATATATATAAGACAATGTTCAAGGGACTTTGAATGTTTAGTAATTAACTCGAATGACAATAGTATATAATTTATGTATTTTGACAAAAATTCTGCTAGTCTTAAAAATGTTAAATTCTAGTAATTACAATTGACATCAATGTCGACTTTTATATTTATGTACACTCTATCTTTGATATTGTGCACTTTAACACATAAATTTAAGATACCTTAAAGCTTTATTTTTATCATATATTATAATAATATTCTTAATAATATCAAAATCTGCTACTCAGTTTCATGTATATGTTTTATCTGCCTGATGATTGGTTTTACATGAAACTCTGAGTAGCAGATTTTGATATTATTGAATTAATAATATTATTATAATATATTTAAGCTCTATTGGCTTTGACATTGATCCCCCAGTTTGTTTTATGTTAAGCTTTTGGCTTATTTTAAGCTTACTGTGTGTAATATATATATATATATATATATATATACACACACACAATCTCATCATGGCTTGGCTTCACAAAACAAAGATCATGAGGGAGTCTGTACACGTCGCTTACAGTCACATTTGTGACTGATAAGTCCAATGCAGGACAGGTATACTCAGTCCCAGTAGTTGCAGCTAAAAGTCTGGCATGGGCTCAATGGCATAGAGTTGCAGTACTTCCTCCTCTGCCTCTTGTCCCTGAGAGCAGCCCTGCAGGTATTTTCAAAGGAGACAGCATGGTTGCTGGTGAGACGCCAGGTGTCACAGCTCTCAGCTGGGGATAACAGTTGGCAATGGTTAATGTGACAAGCAACAAAGGATTTTTTTAGGCAATCTTTGAATCGCTTCTTTGGTGCCCCTCTGCCATGATAGCCAGTGAAGAGCTCGCCATACACTAAAATTCTAGGCAGGCAATGATTCTCCATCCTGGAAACATGTCCAGACCAGTGCAGCTGGGACTTCAGCAGCATGGCCTCAATGCTGGTGATTTTCACCTTTTCAAGAAATTCAATATTGGAGACAAAGTTGCTACAGTGTATGTTAAGGATTGTGCGGAGGCAGCACTGGTGGAACCATTCAAGGAGTCACAGGTGGTGTCTGTAAGTGACCCATGACTGAGCTGTATAGGAGAGTGGCATGGATGATCGCTCTATACACCCTGATCTTAGTGCCCTTCTTCAGGTGTCTGTTGTACCACACACGTTCGTAGTCTGCCAAATGCAATGCTCGCCCTTGCCAGTCTGTTGTCGATCCCCGCTTCCAATGTGATGGCATATATATATGTTTGTGCATGTGTTTTATTGAATGAATGGACAAGAAAAATTAGTCTTTTATTCACTTTTTCTAGTGTTTTTACTGTTTTTCTTTTATGTGTAAGAACACTAGAAAAACTGAATAAAAACAATTATAAAAAAATTTTCCTTGTCTGTCACATTCAGTTAGATATGTGTGAAAGAAATGTATATGGTGGGTAACTGAATGAGAAAAATGGGAAACTTCCTATTTGATGTGTTTTGTCTTTCGAAAAGACTTTTTTGGACTAAATAATGATTTTACTGCTGGTAATCATAGGGGAGGGAATGAAATATGACAAATATCTGTTATAGTTATACATTGAGAGAAATGGTGAAGATGTAGGGATGCTTAGTTTTAATGTGGAATTTTACATATTCAACCCCTGATTTCTCTCATGCTACATCCTAGCTGACCGCATTCGTCTTTCTTTTGTATTTATCATTATTTCTAAATATCCCACATTGTAAATTATAATAGCAGTAGTCATAAGAAAAACAAAATTTTGTATGATCATCCTATATATATATATATATATATATATATATATATATATATATATATATATATATATAAACAAGTTTGATTAAAAAAGAACTGACATGGTCTGTCTGTTTAATTTTTTTTTTATATTTTTCCAGTTTTTTGGATAAGGTGTTGAGTATTGTACTTGAAGCTGAATGACCAAAATATAACTATCAACATAAGACAAATATTAGTAGATAACACAAATACTCTACAATAACTAATGCAAGGAAAGACTCGAAACACTAGAAGCTATTATTATACAAAATAAACAGCCTACATTCAATAAAATATTCACCACAAGAGACTGTATCGTGAAGTACATATGATATAATTAATGTGCACACATATTAGTATATGAAAAGATAAAATTAAATAAATAGCATTCTTTTTGTGTGGCCTCATTTCCAATAGTCATTATACATGATGTCAGGCTGGACCATTTTAAACATCCAGCTTCCCAAAGAATACCAGGATGTAGACAAAGGAATTCTAACTACCATACAAACAAGACCCCATATTAGTTCTTGATAATGACTGTGATAGTCAAAAGTACTTGAACAGAAATAACAATATATGAATTTCAGACTGATCATCCATAACTTTGAGCATAGTAACGAACACCTTATTCAAAAATTGTGAAAATATAATAAAAAATTAAACAGATAGACCTTGTAAGTTCTTTTTAATCAAACTTGTTTGGGTGAATACTTGCTGCCTAAATATACCTTTATTTATATATGCATAGGTGTGTGTGTTATTGATGAGCTACTGTTTCTTACTGGATTGCTATTTATACTCTTTATTTAGCAATGTAAATTTTTTAAAAAGTTACAGGCCTTAAATCCTCCAACTTGCCTTTTAAAATGTTAAAAAAAAAAAAAAATTCAAAGCAAGTGTAATCTGTTCATAAAATTAAATTTAAAAATATTAATGAATAAAGCATGTAAGAATACTTCCCACCCTTATTAAAATTGAAAAGGTGATTTTTTTTTTTTTTTTTTTTTTTTAAAGACAACTTGGTGCCTAAAATTTCTGTTCTATCACTGAACCATATCTGTATGTTGTTGCTCAAAGGATTACTCTTTAAAAAAAAAGACTGTACATATTTGGCAGCTTGGTGTAACATTGAGTCAGCTGTCTATACTTATTCAGCGTGAAGTTGTCCTTCTTATTTAAGATCTATGTGATAGCTTTCTTTTGGTTTTGATAGTCAAATCCATTTTCACCTTGTTATATCTAGCATCCCCAATTAACTTTGCCAATTTCTCAGCATATTTTCACTTGTCCATTGTCTGTCAACTGGCAGTATGATGTTAGCAGTGTCACTCTAGGGTCTTTAATGCCTAACTTTTCTTCCCTTGGGATGTTCGATTTGGGTAGCTTGGCCTTTTCTAATGCTTGTCTCACTTTTTATCTGCTTAGGTTTCTTCAAGACAACCTCCTCAACTCTAGTTATCATATCTAAATGTGGCAGATGCCTGATGGTTGTGGCAAAGTTGAGACCCTTATTTTACCTTGATTCCTCATAAGTGCTCAACTTGTTAATCTTACTCTATTCCAGGGGTTCTCGACCAGTGGTGATTCCCCCCCCCCCCCAGGGGAAGAATTTCAGAGGAAGAATTGGGGCCACAGATTGGTAGACTCAAAATGTTAACTTTCGAACTCCCCAAGGTGGCAGAACCTGCAGTGTGCATCAGTCCTCACAACCGAGAAGTCACAGTGGGTTTTCTTTCCACTAGCTCTTGTGTTTTTTGCCACGACAAAAATAATCTATGTAAATGTATACATACTAATAGGAAAAAGAATGAAGATTTTCAATAATAAATGCATATTATTTGGAATGCATCTTTTGAGTTGAACAATCTTGGAAAAAGGGTGGATGATATCTTGACTTATGATGAAAAGGGTGCATGGGGTAAAATAAGTTGAGAACCACTGCACTACTCTTTCATTTGTTCTAGTTTCAGAATTTGGCAAGCCTTGAACCTTCGAAATTCCTCATTGTATGATTTATCCAGATCTTGGATTCTCTGTTTGTTTGAGTCCAGTGTTATTCTGCTAAAGAACATCCTTACCTGTTTGGGGAGTTTGTGTTCAAGCTAATGTTTCTTCCAACAGTTGTGGAAATTCTTTTCCCTCACGAGAGGGTACCCTGGTCTTTTTTGTTATTTTTTGTGCTCTCCTGGAACTGACTG